GGGGGGCGATCGGTCGGTGTACAGAGGGAGGGAGGGAAGATGATGGACGGTGGGGGGCTGGCTAGTTGGCTGGCTGAGCTGGCTGAGAGTGAGTGTTATGCCACAGAAGCCAGCCAGGGGTTGTACTGTGTGTGTGGGTTCGTCGGGAGTGTGCATACGCATATTTGTACTCGCTGCTGCCTGCCTTCTCTTGTCTCCTCTTTCTCTCTGCTCTGCTGCAGTGTTTTTCCTCTGTCTGCGAATGAAAGAAAGATGCTGTCTCCCCTGCCCTCTCCCCTTGCCACTAACTAACTCTGGCTGGCTATCCTGTTGTCAACCCGTGCTTGCTTGCTGTAGCTATTTTTCTCTTCCTGCCTGCCTCAATGCATCCATCCATCCAGTCTCTCATACATACCCCATCCATCTATCCATCTCAGCTGAGCTGTAGTGTCCTGGGATAGAGGGCCAGAGGGCGAAGTCAGGGGCAGGCAGTGCACGTTCGTACGTCTGGTGTGCATGATCGATCGATCGATCAACCCGCCGATTTTCCAGCGTCACGGCAGCCAGGTGGGGAGTTTTATGTCTGAATGAATGTGACTGAGAAGGGCTGGGCGATATTTCTACTTGCGCGTCACGGCAGCCAGGTGGGGAGTTTTATGTCTGAATGAATGTGACTGAGAAGGGCTGGGCGATATTTCTACTTGCGAGACAGACCTCTCGTGGGCACTCAATTCAGCGAATGGAACACGTCTTGTGGGTCCGGTGTGTGTCTCTCCCTCCCGCTTCCCCGCCCGACATCCCCATCATACTCACATGACACAAAAAACCGCTACAGCGGCACGAGACGGAAAAACTGCTACCACACGGCGGCTGGGCTGCTTCGTCAGCCACACACCGACCAAGGGACAACTACAGAAAAACTCGGCCCCATCCTCACCGGCACGTGCCCACAGTGGTGAGGATGCGCCTGGGGGGGTCAAAGGGCTTCCGCGCATGTGCACACGCCAAGTTATCGACAAAGAGGATGTCCCCCTCCCGCCAGGCAAACATCACATAGTTGCGCCAGTACGCCCGCACAATCAAAAACAGGTCGAGCAGCCCTATCTCAGAGCCGTCGGCGTACGTGGCCCACAGCAGGCACTGCATTGGGAAGAAACGCAGCACCACCACTTGCAGCACCCACATGCACAGCAGCACCAGCAGGACGGCAATGTCGCGAAGGCGCCAAGTGTGGCTGGCGAGGAAGAAGGCGTCACAGACGTTGCCGAATGGATGGAGGAAAGGGAAGAACCCGCCCAGGGCTGTCTCCTCGTCCCCACCGCCGCTGGCCGCGGGCACCAATGTCGTTGCCGGGAATGTGTTCTTGAGGAGGCAGTCTCCTCCTCGCTTGCCGTCGACCCACTCGAGTTCGACTTTGTCTTGTTTGCATGCGTCCTCCACCTTCTGGGGGTCCCCGTCGGTGTCGAAGGTGTCGCGCCACGTCTTGGTCTTGCGGCCCAGCGAACGGGCATCGAACACCCTGATCGATCGACCAATGGCAGAGGAAGGGAGATAGATGTGTCCTTTGATCCGATTGGTATCGCTGACAAAGTGACTGACTGACCTTTTGCTCTCTGCGTCGCCTCTGCGGACAGCCGTGAAGCCTCCCTTCCGCTCAAGCTTGGCTTGCAGCCAGAGGGGCAGATCTTTCCACACGAGGCTCAGGCGCGCGATCGGCGTTTCGCCGCCCCAGGCACACGCCCGCTCACAGAAGAAGATAATGCAGTCAGGCCGCAGACTGCACACAGGGAGGACGTGACATAGTCAACACATGAAGCCTCTTTCTGTTTGGTCAGTCAGCGTACGCGGGGGTCTCGGCCAACTCCGCATGAGCAGCTATGGGGAGGTAGTGCGGCAGCTCAGTGGACGTCCACACGTGCTTTGTGATGCGGTTGCGAGGCGCATTTCCTGCAGGCAGGCACGTGACGTGACGTCCACTTATTTTTCTCACACATCCATTCATTCATTCATGCATCTCATCCGTCCGTCCTCTGACGCGGTGTGTGTGTTGGTGACCTGACCTGGGTATCTGTCGAGCAGCATCGGGCACAGGGCCAGCGCCGCCTTCTCGAAGCTGACGGCGTCAGTCACATGGAAGCCCCGTACCAGCAAGGCGCCGGACTGGTTCCACAGGGCCTTCAACTCATTAGTGTTGTCGTGCAGCAGGCGGCAGAGGTGCTCGACCGAGAGATCTGGCTCATCTGCAGCAGGCGACAAGACCACGCCGAGATGCTTGTCCAGAGCCACCTAGGTCAGCCCCTTGAGCGGAATAGCAGCTTCTTTCATGACACCCTTCGAGCCAAACCACTGTGTTGATCTAGACCATCTCCACCGTATGGCCTAGGCAGAGCACAAGACAACCAACTGCAGCCTCCTCAGAAAACCACTAGGGTTTCAGGGTTCATGCACCTCGGGTTTTACGTCTCAGGATTAGGGTCCGTCCCAGGTCCCCTCTCGAATCTAATTTCTCTCTCTGTCCCGGGGGCGGTCCCAGGGCCCTTCCGCAGTTCTCTCTGCGGGAGGTCGCCTTTCCCAAATTCGTGTCGCACAATCCGCCGCTCCCGTCGCTGTTCTGGATCAGTCAAGCAGATCTTGGTCCTCGCCTGGTGAATCAAGACCAATTGATCAAGACCCGCCGCTTTGCGCGACAGCCCTCGCAGCACAGCCACGTCACATCATGCCATCCTATCCCTCCGTTGGGCAGCCTTCCACCGCTGCACCGGCGTACGATGCGCCCCAGACGACGCCGGTTGTTGCGACGCCGGTTGTTGTCGGCCAGCCGGTGGCGACGAGTGATCCCACGTATGCGCAGATGGTGCAGGACACGACAGACAAGCCCGAGGGTACCGGCGAGCCGCAGCATGTGCAGCCGCAGACGGTGCAGCCGCAGTTGGGTGGTGCTCATGTGATCAACGTGCCCGCGGTGGTGGTGTACGATCCGCGACATGAAGATGACAGGTCGTGCATGCTCGGCTGTGCACAGGTGGGGAGGGAGGCAGGGACGGTGGGAGGGAGGGAGGAACAGGACAGGCAGACATTTCTTTCCCTTATGTGCAATATACATCAATGTTGTGTTATGGTGTGTTGTTGTCCATCAGGTGTCGTGCATGTTGTCGGTATTCTTCCCCATTGTTGGGTGCATCGCTTTCTGTGCGAATCTGGACGCCAAGGAGGGGTCCGAGAGGTACAAGTGGGCCCGCCGCTGCCTCCTCGTGGCCATCGTCATGATCGCACTGGCAATCCTTTGGCGGGTCATCGTGTACATGACCTTAAGCTAGACAGACAGACAGACAGACAGTGGGTACCGGGCTGTCGAGGGCACAGCTTTAGTCATTTTCCTAGGTCCGTATATCGCATTCATCTGTGTCGGTTCTTTTCAGTGTCAATCAAGTGTTTCGTGCCTGTCCGTCCAGCGGCGGGACTCTTCCTGCCGGTTGTTGGACGGAGAGGGTGTTAAGCTGGCGGTCAGTGTATGTGTGTGTTGTATTTTGTGTCGATTTCAGCGTCAAGTGTATCTATCGTACCCAGATAGCTTGAGTGTCGTGTCTGTCTGTCCGGCTGCCTGCCTGTCTGTCTGGCTGGCTGGCTGCCTGTCTATCTATCTATCTATCTATCTATCTATTTATCTGTCTGCCTGTGTGTCTGTCCATGCACTGCGTTCGCCGGTTGGAAGCATGGCGGTGTGTGCAGTGCATGTCATGTGTGTATTGTACGTACGTACGTAAGTTGGCTGTTTTTGGTCACTGCGGCTGATGTAGCGCATCTCATTCGTGTGTGCCTCACTCTAGTCACGGGTGCGGCCTAGCTCGCGGCGCAGCTCCACAATTGCATGGTGCTGTGTCTGGGCGTCGGTGAGGCTATTTCTCGTGCTGACTTCACTGCCTTCGGCAAGTGAGTGCGTTGTGACTGTCTGTCCTTGTTGAGGGCTGGCCCGCTGTCTTGCAAGACCCAACACATTCATCTGTTCGTGTGTGTTTTTCGTGTCGAAGGCGCGTGTGTGGGTGAGGTGACTTACTGTGTGTGTGGCTGGTTCATCGATGCATGTGGCTGGCTTTGCGGACGAGGGTAGAGCCTTTGCAATGGATGTGTCTTCGGACGGTCTGCTTGTGCCCTCTTGCACGTTGGGTGTTGATGAGACTTGGTTTATTACAGAGGTCATTCATTCATTCATTGCAGATGGCGACCATCAACATAACATCCATGAGTCAACGATCCCGTGCCGACAGACAGACAGGCAGGCAGCCCCACACGCACCCAAGGCAGTCAGTATCCATATATATCACTCTCTCCGTCACACGGCATTCCGTCACTGTGTGTCCGAATACACCGACCGCATCACACACTCTTGTCTGCTGCCTCTCTGTCAGTTTGTTTGTCTCTCCACGTGTCACTCACTCTCTCCATTGCCGCATCTCTCGCGACAAAACAAAAAGATTCCCCTTTCCGAACCGGTCGGTGTGGGCGCCCAGCCGGCCATGAATACATATAGCCGTATGCACCGCCACCGGCCAAAAAGGCGAAAAAAAAAGGGAAGCCATCTCATCACACACACGGAGCTAGGTCGTGGGCCATGGCAGGACGACCAGCTGCTCGATGGTACACATAAATACGCAGCATGCATATGCTCTCGCTCTCTGTGTTCAGTGCTTGTGCGTGGTAGCGAGCCACAGAAGAACGGGGCAGGCAGCCAAATCGACACAGACAGCCAGTTAGTTAGTTACACGCGCACTCAGGCGGCCACTCTTTCGGCAACACAGACGGACAGACAGACAGACAGCGGCATTCCATTCATTCAAACCGACATGCACAGCAGATTGCATTCATGCCATGAATGGAGTGGGTGTTTCTGTGTGCTGGTATGGTATATTCGTCTGTCTCTGTCTCTCTCACTTCCACTCAGTCAGTCAGCCATCCAGCCACTCGTACGCACACCCGACACCAATCAGCCAAGGGGCGGCCAAAAAGACGTCCCAATTCGTTAGTTAGTTAGTTAATTCTGCCCTCCTCGTGTACCCTTGCTCGAGGAGAGAGTGGCAGACACAACCGCCATTAAATGCGATGCTCGATATCGCAGCACAACAGACGGGACAGGCCGATCCTATTGCACACACACAGAGGCAGTCAGTTGACTAAGGGAGAGGGAGAGGGAGAAATGTGGTTAAGATATAGGAAGATGTGCTTGTTGTGTTCGGTGCGCTTATGCGTGGGAGTGAGAGCCTCGCTTGCTGACGAAGAAAAAGCCTCGCTCAGACCAGACTATCCTCATCTGACATTCCATGCAGCATCCATCCAGCAGCCAGCCCAGGCACAACACATCTGGGTCGGTCAATCTATGGCAGCCCCTCAGCCAGGCCATCCATCCATCCATCCATCCCCCAGCCAGTCCCCGTGTGTTGGCCTGTCTGTCTTCACTCTTGGTAGGTGGCCTTGGCAGCCGCCCCCCACAGGATCGCCCCCATCAGCCCGTCGCCGTATCCGGCGCGCACCGCGGCAATGCCCGTAGAGGCGCAGGGCAGCAGCCGGGTCTCGCGCCACTCGTGGGTGATGGCGCTGCCGATCATGACGGGCAGGTATCCCATGGACCGGTACTTGGCGTACTCGGCCGGCTCGACGGGTCCGGGCGGCGACGGGCAGAGGTTGACCATCTCCAGCCCGTCGCCAGGCCGGCTGGAGAAGGCCTCGAGCTTGCGGGTGTGCGGGCCGCTCATGACCCAGCCGATGACCACGTGGCCGCCACACGCCAGGTGGGTGACGTAGATGAGGGTGCTCTCGTCGATACACGTCCCGCCCAGCCCGACGGTGGCTTCGGTAGTGCGGAAGAAGGCCTCGAATGGCACCATCTCGGGCGACACGACGGGAGGAGGGTCGTACGATGTGCAGTTGGTGACCTGTGTGAAAAACGGGATCATGGCGCCTGGTGTGGCGGGTTGAAAAGGGTCATACTCACCTTCTCGACAGGGTCATCGGCAGGTGGCACATGCACGGCGTCCAACGACTGAAGGCCATCCCCAAAACGTCCTGATGCGCACAGCCACACAGACAACCACACATGGCTTCTTAGGTGGTGGGTGTGCTGTGTGTCGCATATGCGGGTGTACCAGTAGGTGTGGCGTCGGGCTTGATCTCTGGCGACGAGTCGTCCTTCGTCGAGGCCGCAGACAGAGTGCTGAAGACAACGAAAGGAACAGACGCCATGTGAGCCCATCGATGGGCACACCTCTCTTCCTGACAGTGCTTTGGCCGGGCGTACCTGACTTTGCGCTCGACTTTGCGCCACACCGTCCTCCCACGTCCACGGCGCTTCGTCAAAGAGCGTCCCTGAAGCATGCAGTGTGTAACAGGCGATAGGCACAGCAATGCATCGGGACGGGCATGCATGTCCTCTGGCAGCCCCGAGTCCGTCTCCTCCTCACCTTGGCAGTCATCGCACTCACCAGCGGCATCCCGTCAACAATAAGGGCGAAACAGAAGCAAAACAGAAGAGAACGGTCGAGTGAAGGAACGTGAGTAGCTTCAGTGGGTCAAGAGTTAAGAGCCAGGCCTGAGAAACAGCCTCAACACGTTCCAACGTGCCACTTTTAATTGACCTGGGCTAGGGTACGTGGCTTCCGTGTAGCTCTGGCGAGCTGCGGGCGCATTCGACGTGAGAAGTAAGGATCACAAGGAAATGGGTGCTAATGTGAGCAGAAGAAGCAACGACGAGGACTGGCCATCGATCCGTGGCCAGCAGCCGGACTTCATTCATCGAGAAGAGCGGGACAGGCTACACAAGCTCAAGGACTTGGGCGTCCTCAGATCCACCGCCCTCTTCCTATCGCATGTCGACTTCGAGACCGACGTGCTGCGCCACCGCCTCACCCGCGCTCTGCACGACACGACACTCGCTGACGGGACGCGGCTGGACACGGTGCTGACGTTCGATGATGCGCAGCTGGAGGACCAGCTGCTGCTCCAGGTACACATTTGAGAGGAGGAAAGAGGCGAGTTCATTCATGGGTCCATTGACGTGTCGGTCCATCTACCAGGCCATGTACTTGGTTGAGGATCAGAGTTGGGACGAGGTGGCCGACGCACTGCGGCTGGCGAGCCAGCTCAGCTACTGTGAGCTGCCCGTCAACATCACACAGCAAGATCTCGAGAAGCACCATAGCAAAGAGGTGAGCATGATGGGTAGGTAAACGGCGATGGGGTCGGTGAGGGCCGGCCTTCATCTGTCCATTTGTTCTGATATGTGTCAGACATATTTGGCTGACCCTCGTGTCGTGGCGTTGTGGAAGATGGTCGGGCGGCACGTCAACTTTGGTGGCGAGTTGGGGCGTTTCGAGTTGTTCACTCACGGCAATGGCGCGCTGCGGGCCATCAAGGAGGAGGAGGACTTCACCGTCGATCTGACTCCCCTTTCCCCACACCATCAGTTCCAGCAACACGCCAACCCCCAGGACCCTCCCACCCGTCACCGCATCTATGTCGATGGCAACGGCAACTGGGAGGCGGGGGCTCATGGCCTATTCACCGACGACTCGTTCTCGACGCTTCTCATGGGAATCATTCTCGTGCCGACCTTTGGCGACATGAGGAGGACCACTAAAGTCGTCTCCCGGTCAGTCAGTCAGTCAGTTAGTCGAGATGGGGCTATTCTGTTGTGTCATGTACTCTCCGTGATTGACCTATGTGTGTGTGTGTGTGCGTGTCTGCAGCGATGCTCGCGGCGGCGTGTTGGCGCATCTGCTCAATCAGCCGCCCAATCAGGCGGCGGGAGGGACCACGTCCGTCCTGACGTACACCCACGACGACACACCCATGAAGCTCCTGCTGGTGACGCCCTTCGACTGCCCATTTATCGCATTCGTCATCATCACTGCATTCGCCCCTCCAAATGGTATCACTGCATTCGCCCCTCAAAATGGTATGTTCCACGATTGTGGTTAGCCCAGACAGACATACACACCTCTTTTCTCATGTCATGTGTCCCGTCTTGTCTGTCTGTAGTGCAAGTGTCGGTGTCTACGACCGAGACGCCTGCAGCGGGGGTGGCTGAGAATGCGCCCTTCAAGCAACGCTTCCCCCGCACCACCGCCCTGGCGCGCCCCGTCCTAGGTCCCATAGCGCCCATCGTATTCGACGGAGAAGACCCCAACCAGGATGCTTGATGGTGCCTTGCCTGGTCTTACAGATGGCTGGTTGTCTGCGTGTCTGGTTGTGCGTCTGTCTGCCCCGAGGCTGCCTGTGTGTGTTGTTGATACTTGGTTAGACGTGTGGATGGGACTCCCTGCGTGCTTCGTGACGTCTATGTACATCTTTTGCTGCTGGACGAGAAAATTCTTTTGTTGCGCCCTCATGCAATGCAATGCAATGCATCCATATGGATGGATGCACACAAGATGATGAGATGATCAACCGGCTGTCTCACCCATCACGCGCCACAGCCTCCCACCACCCGCTGCTGCTGCACACGGAAAAGATGGATGGACACATAGACGATGGGCTGCGCTGCCCACTAGATCGTCCTCTCTATCTTCCTTCGTCTCTGCTGGTGTGCCGCCCGCGTCGATTCACGCACCAACAACTGCCGCACCCTGCCCGGCACCACCACCTGAACCTGAGACATACACAGACAGGCATGCATACATCGACCATGTCCAGTTACCATACCCACACCGATCTGAATCACCTGTGCCATGGCTATCGTCTCCATCGTCATCTTCATCCTCTTCAGGGTCCTCGTCGTCGAAAATGATGGCAGCGATGGGTCCCAGCACCCGGCGCGCCCTGGCGGTGGTCAGGGGGAAGCGCCGCTTGAAGGGCGCATCCCCGCCCACACCAGCGACGGCCCTCTCAGAAGTGCACACCTCGATACAAACTGCAGTCAAACAAGGCCAATCAGGATCAACCGTCTCATTGCTGTGTCCGTCGGTCCGTCCGCCTATGTGTGCGCACCATATTCATCGTCATAGACTGACAGGCTGATCCACGCCATGAAGTCGTCGGTGTAGGACGTGAGCACCAGCACCCGCTCCTGGTAGCCCTCCGGCTCCACACCTTCATAATCATCGTCACCCTCTTCGTCGCCCTCGCTATCCTCTTCGCTATCCTCTTGGCTCCCACTGTCGTCCGACTCTTGGTCGGACTCCTCGCCCATCGCGTCTGGGTGGCGCATGGGACGGTCGACGATCGGCGCGGGCTGGGGTCGCCCTTCATCTTGGTCAATATCGAGGCCAAGGACGACCTCCGGGGGTAGCTCTGCCTCGAGGCTCTCACGGAAGGTATCCACCTCTTCATCGATGGCGTCTGCCCGCCCGTGTGTGTATGGATGGGGGCGGCTGGGGAAGGGTGGAGGGGGAGCCGGATGGTCTGAGTCGAGGCCAAGGACAACTTCTGGTGGAAGGGCCGCCTCGAGGCTCTCGCGGAAGGCGTCAGCATTATCATCCTCGACGGGCGTACTGACTACGTCTTGGTGGAGGGGCGTGGCGGGCCTCGGCAGGATCGCTCGGCCCATCCGCTGCATGCCTTGGCCCTCCTCCAAGCCGGGAGCGAGTGCGATTCGATCGCGCAGCAACGCTGTACGACACATGTAGGAACAATACACACACACAAGTAGTGTGTGGACCCATTCAGAAGTGTCGCTCGCTTGCTGCCGCTTACCGATGTCATTCGACAGAATGTCCTCGGCCGCCCTGCTGTCGGCGATCTGTGCGGTGATGCTCTGAATCCGATGGTCAATGTAGTCCCTCTGCGCCCGCAGGTCGCTGAGCTCCGTCAGCATCGCCGGCAGCAGCTGCTCGATGCGACCCAGACGAGTGCGCTTGTCCTCCAACTCGTGCTGCATCCTCGCGATGAGCGTGTGGCTGGTACTCATCTCGATGTTGCAGTGGCGCACTGGTGCGTCCAGCCCTCCTTCTGAGTCGTCATCGGAGCTGTGATCGGCTGCAGGTGGGTTGGGATCGTCGCCCATGTGGCTGCTGTCGGCCAGCTGCAAGCTCCTCTCCCCGCCACCGGCACACGCCCTCGACTGGTCCTGGAAATCCTGAACACACACACACACACAACACAGGTAGGTGATGAGATGGGTGTGGCGTAGTCGCTGTGTGGCCACTCCTGCCGCGACTCGCTCACCCACCCAGCCGCGCACCAGTATGAGCATTTTGTTGATGATGAGTTTGATGAGGCCGAGGAGGACCTTCCTGGCCTCCACGTTGGGGCTGTCGAAGGGCACCTCGTTCTTGCCCACCCAGCCCTCCCCTTTGTTCTTGAGAGCGTCCACCGCCCATGCCTCGACCTCCTTGCGGCTGCTCTCCTCGTCCGCTGCAGCAGTCGTGTTGCCCGTCGCCCGCATGAACATGTCCAGGCTGTCTCCACTCAGGCAGTGGATGGCACCGCGGAGGTGGGCATCGACGATGCGGTTCCAGTTCTGCTCGGCCCGCTCTCGCGCCTCCCTGATGCGCACCCCCATGAAAGACGTAGCGGCCTGGATGGCCACGTCCATCTCGCAGTGTTGGTCGGTGATATGGTCCGCTGCCTCCTGACAGATGATCTTGATGAGCTCGCTGTCCTCCTGCTCGACCATGATGCGGTCCATCAGCTGCCGGAGGTCCTCAGTGTACTGCCGCCCTTCCTCACTGGCCGCCTGCTCCTTCTGACTCGTCTTGGTCTCCTTGCCCTCACCATCGCGACCCCTGCCGCCTGCAGACGACGACGCGCCACTGTCGCTGCCGCTTTTGCTGCTATCGTTGAGTTTGTTGTGGTAGTTGGCAATGAACCTTTTGACGTGGCCGTGGAGCTGAATCTGCTGGTTCTGCATCCGCTCGGTGCGCAGACGGTCGTTGAGTGCCTGAGGGTGGAAGCGGCGCATGGAGGCCTCCACTCTAATGCACTGCCGGATCCGCCGTGCATCTTCAGCGTCGTCCTCAGATTCGCTGACGGCATTACCCTCCAGGGGACGGAACTGGAAGCCGCGGCTGTCATCGTCGGCACTGTCGCTCTCCGCCGCTTCATGCGCCTCGTCGTTGTTGTCGTCATGAGGCAAAAGAGGGTGATCCACTTGGCGACAGGAGGGACCATTGTCCGGCAGTGCACCATCAGTACCAGTGCCGACACTCGACCCACTGCCCCCAGAGCTGCCTGTTGCAACTTGATGGGCGTCGAGATCGGGTGGTAGGGGCGGGTGGATGGCGGGAGAGACGGTAGGGGACACACGAGAGGACCTCGGCCTGTCGTCAGACGGCTCGCCACGACCCTCACGCTGACCCACGCCCCTCTCAGGATGGCCGCCCGAGGGTGAGCGAGGAGGGTGGAGCTGCGATGGACGCCCTGTGGCAGGGATGGCGATGTCCTCGGTGGACGTCCCCTGCGCCGGCTTGCTCTTGCCCTCACCACCCATGGGGGCCTTGCCGTTGCCTCGGGTGGACGTGCACCGCGCGATGATGCCCACTGCAGCAGCCCTGTCGCTTCGCTGCCCTCGATGCCATCGCGACATGTAGTCGTCTGGGTCGCTGTCAAGCTCCTCACCTCCAGATGCCTCCAGCCCGCGGTTGGGCTGCTGCTGGTCGCTGCGAGTCGCTGGTCGCACCATGTCGTTGGCCCTGGCCAAGATGCCTAGCAGATTCGACGCGAGCACCTTGTTCTTGAGTGCGGACGATGCCGCAGGGCTGATTTCGTCGGCCTGGTTGCCCATTGCAGCAGCCCTGTCGCTTCGCTGCCCTCGATGCCATCTCGACGTGTAGTCGTCTGGGTCGCTGTCGAGCTCCTCACCTCCAGATGCCTCCAGCCGGTTGGGCTGCTGCTGGTCGCTGGTGCCCTGTGGCTGCGGGGCGGGGAAGGTGTGTGGTGGGGCCCCCACGTCTTGGCGTGGGAGGTGCGGCAGCTCTCCGCTGTCCCTCTCCGCTTCCCTCGATCGACCGACGTCCTTATGGCCCTGATGGTGGTCGACCGACCGCTGCCGCACATCCGTGTCGAGGTGACGGGCCTCATGCATGTGGGGTATGTCGTCACTGTCGGTGCTCTCTGAATCGATACTAGACACGTCGTCCAGCAACGCCAGCCATCGCTGACCAACCTCCGGGCTATCAGACTCACGTCGGCCCTCGATCGCCCTGCCTGGACAACAAACACAGCACACGACACATCACAACACACTCGCAGTGAGCACAGCTGGCGATGGATGCTTCGTACACGTGTATGTCTGTCGATCACCTTGCGAAGGATCGTGAGATGAAGGCGCGCCGACGGGAGGGCGTCCCACGCCGCCCGGGCTCTCATCCACGGGCTGTGTCGGCTCCGTCGGGCCGCCACCGTTCACGCCAGCCGCACCAGCAGCCGCAGCAGCAGCACACTGACTGCCGGACGCTGCCCGCATTTGGTGAGTCAATTGCGCTTCCAGCCGACCCTTCACCTCGTTGAGGTAGTCGGAGTGCAGCTCGCCGCTGGCCACTTCGAGGGGCTTGGAGGCCTCCTCTTCGCCTGCATCATCGTCAGACGACTTGTCGTCGTCCACCAGGCACTCCCAGGCCATGACAGTGCAGCCCTCCACTGGCTGGCGGGGAGGCCGGGTGAAGGTGCGATTGATCCAGCCACCCCGAACATGCCTGAAAGTAGAAAACACAAGGGGACTGACTGAAAAAGTCAGTCAAAGTGGCTGGGCTGAGGTGGGTCGAACGGTCGCTTACAAGATGTAGTCTTCATACTCGCATTTGGTCATCATGTCTTCGCGAGGGCACATGATGGTCGTCTTGATAAAGGTCGAGAAGGACAACTCCACCACCGACCTCTGACCCGTCATCCCCACCCAACTCCTGCTCTCGTCATCATAGCTCAATCCGTGACGGAGCGGCGGGTCTTCTGGGTCGACATGTGGCTGGAAGCGGTGGGCTGGGGGGAGGGACAGCTTGATGGCGAAGGCCGGCTCGTCCTTCAGCATGCGCAGCTCGCCACCCGGCCGCTCAAACAGCTCCAGTCGCCCCAGCTCGCCACCCAAGTCTACGTGCCGACCAACCATCAGCCACTGAGCTACCACACGTGGCCTGGACAAATATGCCTGACACCACACACACACACACACACACACACACAGACGAGAGATGCACGGCCCCATCCTCCCAGCTCCCCCATCGCCCATGCGCACCTGTTTGCTCCGGTGCTTCTGCAGGTCTTGCTGTGTGATCATCACTGGCAGCTCACAGAAGCCGCTCTGGTGACCGAATCTCAGTGCGTCCCCCACCTCATCCCATCTCTGGTGCTCCACCAGCCAAAGGGACTGCAACAGCAACCGGTCCCCAAGCTGCTGGTCGTCGAATGACAGAATGGCATCCAATCGAGTGCCGTCTGCAAGTTTTGCATGACTAAGGGAGTGGGCAAGGCGGCTGCGCAGCACGGCTGCCGGGAAATCGATGGCTGAGGCGAAAAGGGCTGCTGATCTGAGAGTGCCGAGGTCTTTCAGGGTATGGAAGCGGTGTCGGCTGTCCCTATGGATGAAATCTATCTCATGGCCGTCCTTGTGTGGCGGGTCCGTGCTCTTGCTGCTGATGGTCCCTCCCATGTTTCCAGATGGCTCAGTCAGGGGACCATCCGTGACCCCTACTATGTACAGGAGCCTTGGCCGCCTCTTTCGCTTTCTTTTTTTCTCGGCCGCAAGCTCGCCCTCCGTGAAACCGCTGCGAGGAGTGAAACTGCTCGTCGCGCCAAGAAAAGGCCGAAAGAAAGGCAAGGAGAAGATGCAGCTGACGAGGATGTGCCGCAATCTTCTCGATGCCAGCCCAACTCCCGGTGCTGTGAGTGCGCCGAGCAGATCTGAGCCTGTGATGCGCATGAATCCATGGACCTTGGCGAGAGCCGTCAGCAAGGCCGCCAAGTATGCAAGATGCAACCATCACGCCAGCGACTCACCGATGGTATGCTGTGGTTTGTGTTGGTATGAATCATGTCTGTGTGTGTGCAGGGAGAACATTCGTGAGGTGTCATTGTGGAAGGGCTTTGCAGCGCGGGCCAAGGAGGTGTCGGCCAAGCTGCAGCCGACAGACATGTCCATGATCCTATTCGGATTCGCCAGGATGCGATACAGAGGCGCGTGACTGTTCACCTCACAACCAGACCGACACACACATAACCGGAGGCATCCCTTCTCCCATTCTTTGTCCGTTTGTTCAGATCGTGAGTTGATGTCTTTGATGGCCAAGGAGCTGGTGCCGATGCTGCCCCTGTTTGCCGCCTCTGACATCGCCTTCTTCCTCTCGTCCTATGCGCGGCTGCAGCTGCAGAACGCCTTCCTCTTCAACATATTCGCCCGTGAGGTGGCCAGGAAGGTACACGACTTCACGCCAAGAGAACTCAGGTCAGTAACAAACTGACAACGGAGAGAGCGGAGGAACGGGGAAGTGTCTCTGTGTGTGTGTGTGTGTGTGTGTGTGTGTATGCAGTGAGGTCGTGTATGCGTACGCTGTAGCCCAGTTCCACCCCCCCCTGATGTTCGATGTCATCCGCAAACGCATGTTTGAGGTCGCCAGGCACATGGAGCCATGGTTAGCATCATCATATCCCAGACAGACACATACGTGTGTATAGGCATTTATTCGGCTTCTCCCTGTGTGTGTGTGAAGGCACCTGACGCTTGTGGTCAACGGGTATGCGCGTCTGGGTTTGCTGGACACGCGGCTGTTCGCCCTGCTGGCTACTGAGATATCCCGGCAGATCGGCGCCTTCCCTGCACGGCCGCTTGCACTCATCGCCAATGCATACGCCAGGCTGCGAATAGAGTGAGTCAGTGAGGGAACAACGAGATGCTCCATCGGTCGGCCGGTGGGTCGCTCGCTTGTGTGCATATTTTATGTGTGTCCAGGAATCGGTTTCTGTTGGAGGTGTTGGGCGATGAGATATTTCGGAAGAGGGCAGACCTGTCGCCTCAGGTAGGGGGCCGCCTAAGGGAGAGCCAGGGGAGAGCCAGGGGAGAGCGGTCTGCATAGGATTGCTGTTTGTTTGTGTGGTTGATCCGGTCGATTAGGGTGTTGCGTTGGTGGTGAATGCCTATGCACGGCTCAACATCGTCAACCCTGTCCTATTCGACTACTTCGCTGACGTGAGGCGACGTCAGCAAAAAGACCGAAAGATCGACAGACCACCGTCAAGTCTGGCTGTGTGTGTCTGTGTATCAGGCGGTTCCAGCGAGGATGTCGGAGTACCATCTCCACTCTCTGTGTCTGATCGGTGCGGCCTATGCTCGGCAGCAGCACACCGCCCCCCGGCTGTTCGAGGCCATGGGCGAGCGGATCGGGCAGCTCTCGGCTGAGCTGTACCCGAGAGCCGTCGCATCGTGTGTCTTCTCCTTCGCACAGGTGGCTGACTGACATACACTCACATCACATACACTTTCGCACTGAGTATTTGTGTGAATGAATGAGTGGACGTATGTGTGATGTGATGTGTGTGTGATTGTCTGTCTGTCTGTTTCCCACTCAGCTTGGTGTCCGTCACGGCCCCCTCCTCTACCACGCCCCCATCCATGCCGAGCGATTCGCGTCATCCTACACCTGCGACGAGCTCGCCATGCTGGCACAGTCCTACGCCCACCTCTCCATCAACAACACCACCCTCTTCCAGACCATCCTGGGCCAGATGCACCGTTTTGCGATGGTGGCCATCGATGTCAGTGGCACAGAAGACAGCTCCGATTACCATGGCGAGAAGGCCTTCGCCAGCCAGCCACAGGGGGAGGTTAAAGGCAGCGGGGCCGTGCGAGATGGGCAGGAGTACGTGGATGCGATTGCCCGGTCGGAGGGCACGAGTGAGGGGCGGACTGCCCCGCCGTGTCGGGTGGTGTCCCTCGTGTGGCTGCTGCAGGCCTTCGCGAAGCTCCACATATTCGATGACCAGGTCAGGGGGACTGCTCCCAAGAGACACAGCCGGGCAGTTTCTTGTTGCTTACGTGTGTTGTGTACGTGTGTGTGTTCAGGCATTTGACATTCTGGGTGATCAGTTGGGCCTCCGTGTGGAGGAGCTGACGCCCCCAATGATAGCACACGTGCTGTACTCGTTCGCCCAGTGCACCTACTTCCACCCGAGAGCCCTCAGTGCCATCGTCAACCACCTCCAGGTACTCACATCACATCTGCTCTATTCTACCGCCTGAATATCATCCCATCTCCATCCATCCATCCATCCATCCATTGGCTGCGCATCCATCGTCCATCTTGGTCCATTCAGTTGCACCGTGCGTCTCTTCACGAGTTCGGCCAGGAGGAGCTCGATCTGGTCCGTGTGTCGCTGATTGCCCTCGGCTGCTCAGTCGACATGACTCACCAGCACTCGCCCGAGCCCGTCTTCACCTACCGGCCCCCATCGCACCTGCAGCTGGCGACGACAGACGGGGCGGGGGAAGGGGCGGAGGTGGATGCGCCCGTGCACATGAATTTCAACGTGGTGCTGCCGTCCTCAGTGCCGCACAAGAGGTTCCAGGCACAAACCATTGAACGGCCCCCCTTCGTGCTGCCTGACGTGGGAGCAGCCCAGGGCACAGGCCAGGGGCAGCAGCAGCACGACGCCAATAAATGAACTGTGTGGGTGGCCTGGCAGTGCATGCCGGGCATGGACGCAGATAGATAGATGGGTGGATGGGTGCAGGTGTGGTGGGGTGGGGTGGCTGCGGCCCATGTCGATATGAATGAATGATGATCATTTCAGGGGTGCGCGCTTTTCAGCGTCTCGCTCACCCACCCCCCTCCACCCCCCCGTCTCTCCCGACCTCCCTGACCCTCTCCCTTGTCAGCAAACCAGAACAATGAGGGCCCCTCCATCGCTTATGAGGCCCCCCCACCGTCCCGACATTCAGCTGGACGACATTCGTGAGGAGGACGCCGTCTTGCGAATCATATCAGAGAAGGCAAAGACCAAGACAGAGAGAGAGCTGGCCTACCAAGGAAGGTGGGCGAGACCATGCATTGGCATCCGAGATTGTCCGCATCTTTGTCTTGGTGCGGTGTGCTGTGTGATTCAGATGGTCCGATGGCCTTTGTGAGGTGTGGAATGACTGTGGGTGGTTCATCGCCACGCTATTCCTCGGCTGTTGGCTGAGACAGGGCGTCACGCTGCAGCGGTCCAACATCATGGGTCTGGCGGAGGCCTGCCCCCTCTTTGGCTTCCTCTTTCTGGTCTCGGTGGGGCTGCTCTTCGTGTCGTGGTACGGGTACACCAACCTGGTCTTCCTGGCGTGCTTCTTCATACTCATCTACCTCCTGCTGACGTGGAAATACCACCTCAGATTCAGACACGTAAGCACAGCACAGCACAGCACAGCACAGACCGACAGAAAAGCCAACAGAGACGTACAGTACACTGATGGGATGGGGGGTATCTGTCTGTTTCTGTCTTAATTGTTGGTTCGATTCAGCGGTTCTCCCTGCCAGCCACCGATTCGACAGAGGATTGCTGCCTCGTGTTTCTTTGTCTGCCATTCGTCCTGGCCCACCAAGGCAGACACGCAGACAGATTCGCCGGTAGGCAGCAGCAAGCCAACTCAGCAGCAAGCCAACTCCCGTACACTACACGCCTGCATATGTCTCTACTCGCTGCATCGCATCAGGTGTGTTGGCGCCCGCCAGGTCGGGTGCTTATTATGACGAAGAGATTGCCATCGGAGACGCCACCAAACAGCCACTGGCCCCCACATACGACACCTACCCCCAGCCCAACGCAGGCGACAAGCCCACACAGAAGATGGGCACCAAGCTGACCATGGAGAGTCTGGAGACGCGAGAGCCGCTCACAGTGCACGGCACCAAGGACACGAGCTTCGTACCCGTCATGATGGGCGGGGGCAGCGGCGAGAGCCTCACCGACAGAGAGAGACCCGACAGCAACACAAGCCGTGAGACTTCATCAGTCGTTAGACAGGGGCCCCTCATGTCTCAGCTGACGCGTCACCTCTCCGACGAAGCGGTCGTGCACCGACACACACACACCGGCCCCTCGGCCACAGCCAGCCAGCAGCTCGCCACCCCGCCAACCCACCTACAGCATTTTTCGTCGTCGCACAGCGACGTCATTCACTACGCCAACACGCAGAGAGGGGGGCCGGACATACAGGGGCAGGGGAAGCGAGGGCCGCTGAAAGAGGAGGACATCGAGCGAGAACTGATGCGAATGCGGTCGATGCAGCAGCAGCAGCAGGAGCAAGGCGCCTACCTGCCGTGGCGCCCCAGCTGGCGACGGGCGGCCACACTGGACCCCACTGTTTATGGCAAGCCTCTGTTTGATCCCGCTGATTTCTACCGCCGTGCCCGCAGCGAGATAGCAGTGCCCGTGACGCAACAGCAGCACATGGGGGATGACGATGCGGCCAGCGGGACGACAGAGGGAGGGTCTGGGCGAAAGAAGACGGGCGAGCCGTTCAGAAAAAAGATGAGAGTGGAGAAATAGATGAGTTGGACAGATCAGATGGAGAGCTGAATGAGAACCGAGTTAATTGACAAAGCGACTTGCTGTCTGTCTGTGTGTCTGCGGGGAAGGGCGAAAATAGTTTTGACTCATGTGCCTTTACAGGAGATAAGTAAGTATTGACACGCACAGACACGCCAGTTTATGTATATCGACCCGTAAATCGACACACTGGAATAAGTCCACTGAGCCCACTGTTCGTCACCCTTCGTGCCCAGCATCATCACCCTCGGTTGTCCGGTGCCGCGACCTCGACCGCACCCTTGGCTTCTTTGCACCATCCGCAGCAGCAGGAGACAGTTTGGGCCTTTTGGGCTTCTTGGGGAGACACGACAGGGGGTTCTTGCCCTTCTTCTTCTTTCTGTCAGAGAGACATCAATCAACGGGGGTTGCGGAAGGTGACACACACGAACCAGTGGTGTCTGCCGTGCGGCCTACTTTTTCTTCTGGGCTGCGTCCTGGTCTTGTTGTGCTTTGGCAGTGGCGTCTTTCAGAAAAGGCCGTTCCCACTCCCTCGGACCCGCCTGCTGCTCCTCACGCTGAACACACGCTTGACGCACCGATTCGATCCATGTGTATGAATGAGTATGGTGTGGGTCTGCCTGCCCAGCCCACCTTGCTGAGGGATGCCTTGGCCGCATCTGAGGGCTCCTCGATGAGCGGCACGCTGCCGTGAAGATACAGCAACGGCACACGTGGAATACGCCTGTCAGATGAATCAATCATCGTTATTCCGCTCCATCAAGCATGGTTGTATTGGTGCCGCCTGCGATCATGCCGTGAGTGCCGTGCCGACCTGACGAATGCTTGCAGGGTGCGATCCTGCGTCGCCACGCAGAAACGGTGCGGATTGGAGGACCCTGCACACACAATGAATGACACACAACCTCAATCACAGCAGTGTAGCGCCCTTGGCGTACCGAGGAGTTGCTTGATGCACTCTGCTGCATCGATGGTGCCCTCCTCCCCCTCGTCCATCTTGCGCCTCTTCCATGCCCGCCATCCGCCACCCTCGAGGCTCTCGCGGCTCTGCACAGCCGAGGTGGGCACCACACGATGAACCACATCGTCGTCGTCTTGAGGACAATCGACCTCTCGCGGCCTCTTCTTGGCACCTGGGGTACATGGTGGACAGACAGGGTGCTCAACACTACTCGCGGAACAGTCAGTACCTGGCGGTGGCGTGCTGGCATCGTGGTCCGCTAATTCGAGCCCCTCGGCCTCGAGGTCATTTGCATCATCCGCTGCTTCTGGTGGTGCATCCTTGCCGTCTGGTGGCTTTGGCGCTTCCTGGATGGCCTTGGTGTGATGGCACTTGTGCCTGAATAGTGAGTCGAGGGAGCGGGCAAGACAACGAATGGGTGAGTGCTGCTGATTGACTGACCTGTAGAAGTTCTTGGCAACGAGCACCGCCCCGAGGAGGTCAGGCCCCAGCTTCCGCAACTCAGCCATGGTACACGTTGTCACAACTGATGAATGAATGTACCAGGATAGATACACATCACATATATCGGTTCGTTGGCCTCCATCATCCTGACTGACCGACCTGGTGTGCATCTCCCTCCCAGCATCTTGGGCAGCTGTTCCTTGATGTGCACCTTCTGCTTCAACGACGCCTGGATGAACGGACCGTCAACTGAGCGCATTGACAACACAACAACAGACAGGGATGGATGAGTGAGATCCGCCATGGTTCTTGCCTGCCTGATAGGCTTACTGAGGACGCGATATGGTTCGTCGATTCCGCATGCCACCCTGTAGAAGCGCATGATGCGCCTGAACTGCTTCTGACGCTTCGCCTTCATCCTTCTTCTTTGCACCTCTAAGCTCGCAGACGAGGCGGGCGGCGCGAAGAGGAATGTCGTGGCTTGGAAGAGGCGCGGCTGCAGCACTCCGTCAAGGGTGCGTGCAGTTGGGTATGAGATCCCGCTCCTTCTCGACACTAGCATCTGCCCTGGATGCTGATCTCATCGGCTTCATCGGCCTCGGTGAGCAGCAGAGCAGATCCAACACGGGAGGTTCATGGTGATCATCGTGTGTATGTATTGCATATATGTGCAGGCAACATGGGTCTGCCGATGGCGTCCAACCTGCTGACGCACGGGCGTAGGCTGCTGGTGTTCGACATGTCTGATGAGAGGCTGCAGGAGGCCCAGAAGAGGGGTGCCAAGGCCGCACAGAGCGTCGCACATGTGGCCCGGGAGGTGAGCGAAGCGACCATTGATTGCAGTGCATCTGCATGCACCAGGATGTCTGTGACATTCCTTCGTTCGTTCCTCCTCTGGCTGGGTGTGGTGTGTGTAGGCTCGCGTCGTGATGACCATGCTGCCGGCCACGAAACACGTCAAGGCCGTGTACCTCGGCGAAACAGGTCAGTCAGCATACATACACACGTGAGGGACCAGATGGATGAAGTGAGGCGGAAAGGTTTAGTGAGTGAGTGCGTCCTCGCTGTTGTGCAGGTCTACTCGCCAATCTGGGGGAGAAGGGCAGTCTTATCATCGACTCGTCGACCATCGACCCTGTGAGTGCGGAAGAGGTCAACAAGGAGGCCACATCGGCGGGTTATCGGATGGTGGATGCCCCGGTGTCTGGCGGCGTGCCTGGGGCGGTGGACGCGACGCTCACCTTCATGGTCGGGGGCACCGATGACAACTTCAAGGTACGTACGTACGTCCACTACACCTCACCTGTCTGTCGGTCCGCATGGTTTGCGTGAGTGGTGGCACAATGAATGCGACCAAATCCATCCTGTCCTGCTGTGCTGTTGTTGTATCGTTTCCGATTTGATGTGTGTGGATGTCATGTGCTGTGATGGGTGGTTCGGTTCAGGCTACCCAGCCGCTGCTGGCCATGATGGGCAAGAGTGTGGTCCATTGTGGGGGCCCGGGCAAGGGAGCAGCCTTCAAGGTAAGCGTCGCAAGCACAGACGCTGGCCAGCCAGATAAGATAGCACGTGTGTGTCAAGCAAGACTTGCTTGTGTCGCCCTCCCTCTGCAGGTGTGCAACAACTTGATCCTTGCCGTGAGCATGCTGGGCGTGTCGGAGGGCTTCAGACTCGCCGAGTCTCTCGGTCAGCCCAGGCTGCCGTGTGACAGATCAGATTCCGGACACGCCTAATGCAATGCAATGCAAGCCACACAAGTGTAGTGTCTGTCTGTCTGCCGTGTGTGTCACACGCAGGCGTGGACCTCAACAAGTTCGCCTCAGTCGTCAACACGTCATCCGGCAGGTACTGTACTTCCCACACAGACACATGGACCGGATGCATCCGTCCACCCAAACCAGCAGGCACACACACGTCTTCGGGCGGCCCCTCTCTGTGCTGTGGTGTGCAGGTGCTGGTCGTCTGATACCTACAACCCTGCACCCGGTGTCATGGATAACGTACCGGCCTCCAGGTGTGTGAGTCAGTCAGTCCAGTGGACGAACGATGCGATTCGATGGCATCCATCACAATGAATGCCTATGCTTCGTGATTCGATTCACCATCCGTCGATGCCATGCCATGTCATGTGTGCCTTTCAGGGATTATGTGGGCGGGTTTGCGATAGATTTGATGGTCAAGGACCTGGGTCTGGCGCTGAGTGCGGCCGAGGTGACCAAGGCACCGCTGCCCGCCACCAAAGAGGCACACCGCCTCTACGGACAAGTCGCCGCCAAAGGTACGTGTAAGTGAAGGCAATTGATGAGCGTCAAGACACTCAGGGCTGGCCGCATGTGTGTGTGTCTTGGCTGCTGTCACTCAGGTCATGGCTCGTTGGACTTCGGCAGCGTCTACAAGTATGGCGGCACCTGAAAGAAAGAGTGCGTTGGCCGCGTCGTATGCCATCAGCATCAGTTTTTCGTCGACCTGTCTAGCTACACACACACACACACACACAGAGACACAGACATTTACACAGCTCTTATGGTGTCAGTCAGTTTCTTCCCTTGGTCGCCCCTGTGCCCGCCTCGGCTGACTTGCCTCTTGATCGATCCACCGACCAAGAGCACAAGTCTGCTGGGCGTGTCACAGCTGGAGGATGGGGAGGACAGACAGCCTCACTAATGTGTGATGAATCAGTGCATGGGGCGTCTGTCTTTTTTGGGTGACGATTGGTTCATTCTTATTCCGTTTTGTGCGTCCGTCCGTAGTGGACAGACAAGGCGTGGGGCGGCGCCTTCTCTCTCCTTCCTTTTTTTGAGCCGTACGTGCGTATCTCGTCAGTCACGGTGAATGTGTGGTGTGTTGCCGTTGTTGCTGCGGAGGTGCTGCCTGTGTGTATCACCGCCTGGTCATAGTCTGTCCATCCCCTTTGTTTGTATGTGGTGGGGTGGTGTGTGGCAACACAACCTGACGGACCCACCGTGTGTGTTTTTGTGTGAATGCCGCGCCCGTCCCAACCACCGGAAGCTGCTCATTTCGACTCGACTGGACTGGCCGTTAACTGGAAAGACATTAACTCATAGCCCAACGTCAGGCAGAGTCTGTCGGTCTGTCATGAAATGAACTGTGTCAATCGACCAACTCTCAATCACGCGACAAACATGCCAGCCCATCCTCAGCGCCCGCCTGGCGTATCTTCTAGCGCCCGCCTGGCCCACACGCACACACAAACGAGCACGGGCCCACCCAATCACCTGGCTATACGACTTCTCAACCAGGCGGCCGGAAAAAGCATTGGCCTCTCTGCCCCACACACCATCCACCGTGACGCCCAAGGGGGTGAAGTGGATGGACTTGTCCTCGCACACACTGGCGGTTAACCAACGCAGTGGTCGACCGACACACAGTGTGATCCACTCCATGCACTGCACTGAATGCAATTGAGTCCACAAACCAACGGACACAAAATCCTTGCAGGCCACGCTTCGCTTCGCTTCGCTTCACCCCTCACTCACAGGACAGACATCTGTCTGTCAACAAAAAACCCCTCATGCTCGTGCCATCCAGGCACTGAATGCCTTAGGGTAGTCTGTCTGGATGGCTGTGATGCCGTCAGGGTGCCTCACAGCGTACGACCAATCGCCCTACACACACACATACAGACACACCTGCCGGCCGGCCTGCCGGCCTGCCTACTGATGTGTGTGTGTGATGTGCTGTGTTGTGTTGTGTTGTGATGAGAGACCCACCTCCTCGTTAAGTATCCAAATGACAACAGGCACCCCCCGCCTCTCCAAATGACGCCACAGACCTGTCAGGACACACACATTCACACACATCATGGATAATATGATATATAGATGTGTGGACGATTCAATCAGTGAGGCGCATGACTTGACTTGCCTTGCCCACCTGGTCTGTTGATGAGCACCTTGGCCATGTAGGCCTTGGCCCAGAACCACCACCCCACCTTCTTGCCCTTCATCTCGGCAACTTTTGCGAACAGATTGACGATAAGGGAATTCACCAAGGGGACATTGTAGACCTGCAAGCAAGCAACCCATCACACCCCACGCATACGCACACGCACACGCAGCCGCAGCAGAGTGACACTGACGACGGACACACACAGTCCTCCTCGTGTGTGTACCAGGTTGTTTGGGATGCTCACGAAGGGCAGAAGGCCCATTGTGTAGAGCGCGACGATTCTCAGAAATTCGGGCTTGACAGTGATGCACGGGACGGACGTATCCTTGGCCTGCATCACACACAGAGGCCACAGAAAGAAAAGAGGCCACTTGATTCAGCGGCCCCGGTCTGTTTGTCTGGCTGCATACCCACCATGAGTTTCTCCTTGAGGGATTTGTTGAAGGGGTTGCCCCAGACAGTGCGGTTCTTCCGCCCCGAATTGACCAGCTCTCGGTACACAGCATCGACTGTCGCCTGGTCGTCATCCCACAGCTCAAGGATGGCAAACATGTCAGGCCCGAGAGCCGCCAACACATCCTTCAGCAGCGACAGGCGGCCACCTGCGCACACACGAACAGACAAACACAACACGCGAACAGCGGTAGGGAGGGAGGGAGGTGTTCGTGCCTGCGTGCGAAAGTGTGTGTCTGTGTGTGACTACCGTACCGTCTGTTTTGACGGGATGGGGGATCAGCAGGTTGGGTGGCAACTCCTTCTTCAGCGGAGGGATGTCGTCGTAGTTGAGACTGCAGACAGACACAAGACACAGACAGACAGACAGACAGACAGACAGACAAGATACCGGTGCCCAACCATGGCAGGAGATAGATACAGGTGAGCTGTGTGTTGTGTCCCTTCTCCCCACCAGTCACTCACTCTTTCAGCTCTTTGTCTGCTCCCGTCAGGTTTTTCAGCCCCGAGTGGTACGCCACGGCCACGCCGTCCTTGGTCATCCGTGCATCAATCTGGCACCCCGCCGCGCCGTTCGCCACGCAGTTGTTGACTGCACTGACGGTGTTCTCGGCCTCTTCGCCGCCTCCCGCCCGATGCCCCACGCACAACACGCGGCCTCCTCGAGCTTTTTTCGCATCGAAGAAGATCTTCTGCCGGATGTCCGAGGGGTCAGGTCGGCCCCAGAGGAGGTGGGGATACCGCCCGAAGATCTCCGAGATGAGTGCATAGGTAGCGACAGCCCCGCCGGCGACGACCAGAGGCCGAAGCCATGGATGGGCGTCGGTTGACGATGCCATTGGCGGAGCCTGAAAAGATTTGCGAGCTCATTGGCTGACTTGAAGGGTGGGGGTGGTGGAAAATGAACAGCTTTTTCAGCTCCCTTTGGACCCCGCCGTACGGCCACATCAGCTTCACTCACACGCCCCCGTTTCCCGCCGCGTGTTGTGTGGCTCCGAGCAAGCTGCACAAGCGGGGCGTGTTTGCCACCCGCCATCTGCACAGGGGAGAGCTGATTGAGATGTGCCCGGTCCTCAAAATCGACGCGCGGTACCTCCTGCCGCAGACGGGGCTCAGGTACACAGAGGGGAATTACAATTGCATGCAACGCAAAGCTCCTAACAAGCCCATCCGTTGTTTTGTGTCTGTTGCTCCCTCCTTTGTGTGTGTGCAGGGACTATGTGTTTGATCCGCAGGAGGCCTGGTGCGGCCCGGGCAAACACACCTGCCTGCTGGCGGTAAGTAAGAAAGAAACCCTCAGACGTTGGAGTGGAGTGTGCACGTTCTTTCAGTTGGGGAACGGTTCGCTGTACAACCATGCTCCCAATGGTCGCGGCGCCAACTGCACCTGGCACTACGACAAGACCAGGGAGGTCATGGTGCTCTACGCGACCGCTGCAGTGGCCGCCGGGACCGAACTCCTGCACGACTACTCTGACGTAAGAAGGAACCAATAGAACCAACCGGATGAAATCGAGTCGTAAACAAAGCGGCCCATTAGTGTGTTTGGATGGATGGATGGATGGATGGATGTGTGTGTGTGTGCAGGACTACTGGAAGGCTCGCCCCACCCAGGCTGCAGTCCCTCCTCCCTCCGGCCAAGCTCATCCCGCCCTGCACACCACAGCCCCTGCCGCCCCGGCGGCGGCACCGGTGCCAGGGCCAGCCCAGCAGGCGCCCGTCATGAAGCACACAGGAGAGGGCGGCATCACACAAGGGGCGGGCATCACACAAGGGCCGGGGCCGCTCGCACCCCTCGAACATCCACCCAACGCCATCCCTGTCCGGCCGCTCCATCGCCAGCCGCCACTGCCAGGCTATGCGGGTGCGCCGTTCCGTCCTCCAGTGACACCGCTGGCTGTGACGCGCTCGGTCATGGCACAGGGCCCCCCGGGAGGGTTTGTGGGGACGGTGGTGATGCCGCCGGTTGGCCAGCTGCACACCACACAGATGGTTAGGAAGGAGGGTGACAACTGAAGGATGATTATGGGGCCGTGGCGAGGGGGAGGGAGGGAGGGAGGGAGAGAGAGCGAGCCTGGCTGGCTGTGTAACTAACGGTGAGTCCGTGAGCGAGGCGTGTTGTTCGTATGTACAGGTGGGCTGGCCAAGAGTCGCTGGTTGGCTGTCGAAGCGGGATCTGGTTGTGTGGTGTGTGTGTGTGTATATATATATATATCGCTTCCTATGAACGCGACGGAGGCTGGTTGGCTGCATGGATGGAATGTCTGTTGCCTGACGGACTGACCAGGGAGGGGAGGGGAGGGGCAATAAGATTTCGCCATTCAGTCAGCTGCGACAGACATGCAATCATCCATCCATCATTCAAGGCATTCAAGGCAAAGGAGAGGTCTGTCGATTTGCACTGCAGGCGCATGCACATGCACGTCTGTCTGTCTTGTGTCTGCTATAGATGAGTGCACTCATGCAACCATCACTGCATGGCTGGTACAAACACACAAACATGGGAATACATACATACAGACATCTGGAGCTAAGACGCACCGCACCAACCGACACACACCCACAGCCCACAGGCAGACAGACAGACAGCCCCAATAACTGTAGGTAGGTACTGTACGATCCTTTCCTTGGCCAGCTGTTTGCTCTCGACCGACCAGTCAGTCAATCAATTGGCTAACTAATTGGTTAACAAACAAAGGACACACGCGCACACATACACACACATAGGTACATCCATCCCATACACGTACAAGCACACGACCCCACCCCCCACCCCCCCTGCACATGGCC